CTGCCACAACAAGGGAATGGCTGGAGACAGAGTAAGGGGGTGGCATTGTTTGTTACTGTGACTCAACACCATCCCATTAAAGGAAAGTCCATCCACCACAGGCAGGAAGAACAATGGGTGAGGTCCCTCTCCAAAGCTTTGAACTCGACAACATTTTCTGATCTGTCAGCGTTTTGTCGGATAAAAACCACTGGCTCTGTGTGACCTTTGACCACTGAGCTTGTTCCCCCTTATTCTTTGAGGCAGGTGACACAGAAGAAAGTGTCATATGGGTCCATATTGGTGAGACACGTGTAACAAACATGCATCTGTTTTGTTTTCCTCACTGTCAGCCAGGTGTGTAGCATTTTTATCTTTAAGGATTCTATGCACCGCTGGATATATAAATCAGTCTTTAACTGGGTGTTACTGAAATGTGGGCATTAATAGCTGACAGTCTATTGACTGGCCTGCCAAGTCTTGTTAGACCAACTGGCAGCTTCTCCAAAGACCAAAGCCTACATCACATCCTTTTATACCAACAACAAACTTCCTTCCTCCCCTGCAGCTATTTATCTACCTCTCAATTCATGTCACCTTTCATTTCTCGCTATTGTTTTCAGCTGTCTTCTTGCCTGACCCCTGGTCTCTCTTGAAAGATGCATGTGGATTTCTGGCAGCTTGCTGTTTTTTTTTTGTTTTTTTTTTCGTACCAACATGCCACGATTCTATGATCAGCCTATGAAGCTCTCTTTGAAGCTTCCCTGCATCCCCTAAACATCTTGGGTAACATCAAAGCTCACACATTACAGGGGGGCAGAGTTCAACTGGGAGCCACTGAGATTCAAGCATCATCTCTCCTTTTCCCTTTTTTCCCCTCTTCTTCAGGGGTCCTGTTTCTGCACAGCGCTGCTGAAGGAGAAATACAGCAAACAGGAGGGGGGGGGGGGGCAGGCAGCGTCTCTTCCTGCGTTTTATGTCCATCATGTGTCATGGCCGCTCTTGGCTTTCATGTTCTGTCTGGCTGAGTCTCTCCTGCTCCAGCAGTCTCTGTTTCCTCGCTGAAAATCTGTGTCCCTCAGAGGCAGGAGACGCTCTCTCCTATGCATCCATTTCAGCTCAGCTCAGCTCAGCGTAGCTGGGCTCTACTTTCACCTTGCTGACACCAGCTCCTCAGCAGACACCTCTCCTCTACATGGGCTCAGGTGGCTGACAGGCAGCTGTCCGTACGGATAAAGCAGGAGAGGACACACACTGTACTCTGAGTCACCGTCGCTGCCTACTTTTCGAACACCTTTGCTATTGCCACCTCTTTGATTTAGACACTTCTCCTGGAAGGATATCATGCCACCTGAAAAAAAGAAACATTAAAGAGACGTCAGGTGATGTTTTTCTTTGTTTTTACTGAGGTTTGACTGAAGGTTACACAGCTTATGTTATATACATTTTGCAGCTTCATTCTTGTTTGTTTCTTTTACTTCAACAGCTGATAATGTTCAAAGTAAACACAAAATGCCCTTTTCGACCGTTCAAGCTGTTGCTTTTTGCTTGCATAGAGTAATTTTACTTGCTGCATCTCAAGTGTGGCTAATTGTTGAGCCTAATAACGCGGATTTTGACTCAAACACACAAGTAGTCTATGTTTGATTACCACGGGAAAGGAAAATTCAGTCGCAGGGGCCCAAAACAAGCCAGTGGCTGATGAAGACAAATGTGCAAACACATGTTGGCAGAATTGCTTTTTGGTTGAGCGTGATCGGCTACGCTCAGGAGGGCGGAACCAGGAGTTGTGATTTATAGTTTTGTGCTGTCCCTGGACCACCACTGTCTGCTGCCTCCCACTACTGTAATTACCACGTGTGTCTATTAGAATAGTCCTGCTGCCCACAATGCATTGCCTCAGCCGAGAGGAGAGGAGAGGAGAGGAGAGGAGAGGAGAGGAGAGGAGTGTTATCACTTCACAGAGATAGTCTTGTTATTCAAACAGTGTTCTCTACAAAAGCATGATACAGAGGAGGAGTGGAGAGTAAAAAGACACTGCAGATGATGAGATAAAGGTCAAAAAGAACCATGCTGAAAGGTTGAGGGGTGTATTGAAAGTGGGAGAAAGGACAGAAACAGGTCTCTTCCTACAGTAGGTCATGTATGACTTTATTTGGATGCTACAAACCGCATAAAAAATTGGCAACAGCATACAGTATTTAAACAATTGTTTCCACTGAAAGCTGTTCAGCCTCTTGGTATTCTGTAACACTACAGACCTGCTCTTAATTAAATTTAGTTAATATTCCAAACAACATCAGGATTGTTGTAACATGCCTTTTATGCAGCTTCACCTGCAGATTTTAACAACATATTCAATCTTGTTTTACGCTACATGTCCTCCTACATTGTTTCTCCATCCCTCCCAAGTGTTCCAAAGCCTGCTGGTCTGGATTCAGTTTGCTTTGCCTTGGGCCTTATAGCATCTCCTAGTGGGCAAACTGCCCGCTCTTTTCAGTCTCATGAAAATGAATGCTTTGAATAATGTGATTCAGTCAATACCTTCAGGTACCTTGACAAATAAGAGAACTTGACATCTTCTGAGCTTGTTTATAAGGTGGATTTCTCTGCAGTGTTTCCATTATGGATAATTTTCCTTTGCTGTTTTATAGTCAGGGTGTGTGCACAGTCCACACACTTGTATATGTCTGCATAAATTACAGTTTTGATAATAAACCATTTTACATAAGGTAACTGGATTTCTTTCTTATTTCAAATAAATGATTTTTTGCTTCATCTACCTAAAAAGGGGCCAAATCACCTTTTCTTCTCCATGAGAGCTCTGAACCTGTAATGAGACCTGGCACTGAGCTCTGGTCAGTGTCATTTATGCTGTAATTGGCCTAAGGGTGTAAAGGGCAGCCATGCATCAGAGAAGACAGAGAACTAAGTGGCTTACAATGACAGGACTGAGAGAACGAAATACAGTTAGAGGGCTTGCACAAACTGAGGAGAGTTTATGAGCATTTATGACACAACATGCATTATGGCTATAAACAAATATGGTGATTATTACACACATGAATAAATGCATTTATGAATTAATTCAGTTCAATGAATATGAGTTCATTTTCACTGAAACACACTTTCAGCATATTTCTCTTAAATTCCCTATTTTTTCTAAAAAATGTGAATGCAAAAAAAAAGTGTTTGACAAAGCCTTTTCTTTATTTAAAAATCTCCCAGCAATGAAATATATTATATTTTCAGCCAAGACTCTACATTGTCTGAAAGCACAATGCCTCACAATTTTAAATCTAACCAATCTAACAAATTCAAAATATAGCCTCACTAAAATTTTCATTTTACCATATTTGTGCCTGTAACTTGATGGTTTTATAGTATCTTTCAAAAAAAGAGCAGAATAATCACTTCAATCAAAACGGCTAACGAACAGTGACCATTTTATTTTGACTGAGCCTATGTAATTTTTCAGTTTTGTGGGCACATATAGCAGAATCCATCGTATTCACCAATACAAACCTGGTTTCCAGATATAACAGCATAACCCTTCACCTGCTCAGCACATATAGACCATTTGGTGAACCACTTAAAAACAAAATCTCTAATAATTCCAGTATTATAATATATAACATAATATTTCAAATTGCTCCAAACCCTGTTTTCTGATAGCCTATAAATTGTGAATATTATCTGGCCAAGGACGGTCTGTGCTTGTGTCCCACATGAGTAGCTTCTTACATAGTCTCCCATCATTCATATTCATTAATTTATTCCACTGTTTACTCATACAGGCAACCCAACATACTTCCACCCCATTTCCTCTATTACAAGTGTGGGTGAAGCAAATATATCTACAACCAGCAAATATGTCATAGACCTAAACTGAAACCATTCACATCCATTGTAAATCTGAAATCCTAATACCCCACATCTGCATATTATATACAAAATAAACAAGTTACTGGCAGTTGTTTTAAATAGTTGAATCAAGGGTCACATGAATGATTGGGGTTACATAGAGGATGGGGTTGTGCTGTTCACACTGATATCATAGCTCATTAGAGAAATAACCATGGTTTCAATTGATCTCTATGACCACAAGCTCAAGAGGTTCAGGGTGAATTTGTGAGCCATTGATTTCTATGGCTTATTAAAGGTATGAGTATCTTACTATACAGAGAGATGTGGAAGCAAGATTACCAGGAAATAGAGGTATTGATTGGGTCAAGAAGTTGGGGCTTACATTTCAAATTTCACCTGGGAGACAGGATTTGGCAGTGTTGACTGAAAGATACGGGAAGATATTTTGATGAGTCACAAATTCCTTGGTCATGTCTTAAAAAAAATACAGAACAGAATGTTATGTTATAATAAATGTCATTTATAATCATACTAAACTGTATTATTATGTATTATTGTTATTATTATTACCCAAGTACTGACATGTAGGCAGCATTTTAAAATTGTACCTACTGCATAACACAAACATCTGGATCATTTGCAGCCTCAGTGATCCCCCTCTTTTCCACTTTTAACACATTCATTGTCACATCCATAAACTCATAATACTTATAATGCGAAAAGCATAAATATAAAAAAAGAAAAAAATATATATTTTAATTCCAGGCTTTTTAAGGGCCATCTCCATACTGGGTCCTTGTGTAGTTAGCTCCACGTGCATCGTATGTTATTATATAATCATATGTAAAATATTATTCTGTAAAGTAACTCCTAACTACAGCTGTAAAATAACTTAAGAGGAGTAAAAATACCATTTTTAATTCTGAAATGTAATTGAGTAGGAAAAAAAAACTTCCAAAAATTCCAGTCCTCAAGTACAAGAACCTGAGTGCCTCAAAACCCGAGTACATTCACTCAAATACATGAGTGAAAGTACTTAGTTACATCCCACCACCATTATCATTATGGTATTTCATTTTGTCTTTCTGTGTTTTTGTCCAGTAGGTGTCAGTGTCGCTGCATGTTACGTCTTTCTTCGTGTGACGACACCCGGAAGAAGGAAGCGTCAAATTGATTTGGACGATTTACCTTCTAAAAACAGCTAGCTATTGTAGCTATATCCTGGATGCATGGCAAAAACATAAACGTCAGCTGCTTTTACAACGTGAGTAAGCTGTATAACTGTATATCTACTTTTACTTGATCAAAAGTGTGTTTTTAGCGTCGGTGTTTTACGCGGTGCAGTTATTCGTTCGGCTGATATATTGCTAGATGTTAACCAGACTGTTGTGTTTTTGACAGAGATTTGCTGGTAATCCTGCGCACGTCGTGCAAATCGACTTCCCTGAGAGAAAATGTCGTCTGGTCGGGAAGGATCCTGGACCTTCAGTGTGGCCGCAGTAGTGACCGTGTTTCTGCTGGATGCTGTTGTTTTTGCAGAGGCGAAGGTAAAAACCTGCAGCTCCACATCTGCTGGATACATGTAGTGACTGGTCGGCAGGGTCTTTAAAACACTTATTTAAAATATTAAAAAGCCTTAAAATTAATTTATAAAGGACTGGAATATTATTATAGCTTGCCTTAGGCAGTAATCTTGGCTGTAAAATGTTTTGGTGTGTGATTCTAGCAAACACACTAAAAGCTGGAAAGACCCATTAATCCAGACTTTTGTAAAATTCATATGCGGACCTTAAATTAATCAGTTACTAAAATCTTTGATCAGTTCATACATTCGTTTGTTCATTAATCTATCTTCTGCTGATTGTCCTGGATGTTTGTAATGAGTAATGAATCAATCAATTATTAACTATTCAGCAGAAATTATTGTTACACACCACTGGCAGAAATGTGGTATAAATGGCAGTAAATTAACACACTTGGTAAATAACTATTGGTCATATCAACCCCACTAGTTTTTAGTTTTTATTTTTATTATATCTTTCATACTTTTTAAGGTATGAGCGTGAAGCAGTGTTTCCACAGTTTTGTAAGCAGGCAAGACAAACAATAATGCACCAGCACTTTTCTGAGTTCCCAGAGAAAAGTACAGTTTACATCAGCTTCTGTAAATAATAACGGTTGGAAAAAACCTGTGAAGCATGTTGAATGAAATTTTTTTTTTTTTTTTTTTTGGCGCGTGCTTCTCTTGTGTGCTGTCTCCTCTAAATGTAAAATAGTGTCTATTCATGTTTATGTCCTTTAAACTGGAATAACTGGAACTTTTATGTCAAATTTTTTGTACAGTTTCGTCAATAAGTGAAACAAAGGGCTACAGACATCAGAGAAAATAGATAGCTGAGGTATAATGTCAGATAAGCATTTTGCTAAGTTCGTGGCCACTTTTTCTCAATTTTCTTGCAGAGCTTTGAGGACGTTCGCTGCAAGTGCATCTGCCCTCCATACAGAAACATCACTGGCCACATATATAACCGAAATGTCTCCCAGAAGGATTGGTAAGAGAAACCCTCTCTTTAGACGTACAGTCACAACTCCCATAATGTTTTTATCATATAGAACCACAGAATTTGTTCAGACCCCGTCACTTCTTTTTTTTTTTTTTTTAAATCATTTAAATTAATTTTTATCCCACATCAATCTACTCTCAATACCCTATAACGACAAAGTGAAAACAGAATTTTAGAAAATTTTACAAATTTATTAAAAAGGACAAATTGACATGAAATTTAGCTTAGGTGTCCTATTTCATTTTATCATCTTTGAGATGTTTCTACACCTTGATTGTAGTCCACCTGTGGTAAATTCATCTTATAGGTCATGATTTGAAAATGCCCACACCTGTCTATATAAGGTCTCACAGATGACAATGCATATCAAAGCAAAAAACCAAGCCATGAGGTCAAAGGAAGAGTCTGCGGAGCTCAGAGACCGGATTTTGTTGAGGTACAGATCTGTGGAAGGCAACCAAAAAACTGCTGCATTGAAGGTTCCCAAGAGCTTAGTGGCACCCATAATTCTATAATGGACGAAGTGTAGAACAACCAGGACTCCCCTAGAACTGGTTGCCTGGCCAAAGCGAGCAATCGAGGGGGGGGGGCCTTGGTAAAAGAGAGGCGACTAAGAAGCCGATGGTCACTCTGGCTGAGCCTCAGAGATCCTGTGTGGAGTTGAACTGTTTGGCCTCATGTCTAAGCCTCATGCCTGAAGGGAATCAGGCACCACTCATCACCTGCCCAACATAAACATGAAACATGGTGGTGGCAGCATCATGTTGTTGGGGGTGGATTTCAGCAGCAGGGACAGGGAGACTGAACGAGGCTAAGTACAGAGATACCAGAGTAATAAAAACTTGGTCCAGAACACTCAGGACTTCAGACTGGGTCGAAGGTTCACCATCCAATTCCCTCTCTGGAGAGACCTGAAAATGGCTGTCCACTGATGGTCCCCATCCAACCTGACTGAATTTGAGAGGATCTGCAGAGAAGAATGGCAGAAAATCCCCAAACCCAGATGTGCTAAGCTTGATGTGTTTTACCCAAGAACACTCGAGGCTCTACTTGCTGCCAAAGGTGCTTCAACTAAGTACTGAGTAAAGAGTCTGAATACTTATGTCAATGTGATTTTTCATTTTTCACAAGGAAATAAAAAATGTTGTCATTATAGGATGTTGCGTGTAGACTGATGAGGGGAAAAAATGTATTTAAAAAATTTTAGCTTAAGGCTTTAATGTAATAAAAAGTGAAGGGGTCTGAATACTTTCTAAATGCACTGTAACTTCAGCGTAAAGTTGAATTCTTTAGTTCACTATACTGGTGTGTGTGTTAACTGTGTAAAAAAAAAAAAAATGTTGAACACATGGACACCGCTCACTGCACAGTTTTGATGTGTTTTACAGTAACTGCCTTCATGTAGTGGAGCCCATGCCGGTGCCTGGCCATGATGTTGAGGCTTACTGCCTGTTGTGTGAGTGCAAGTATGAGGAACGAAGCAGCAACACCATCAAGGTATTATAGATCCTTTTCTCTTTAACATAGTCGGGTTTGTTTCTTCGTCTTACTGTGATTGTATGTCGCAAAACATGTCATGTCAAAACACTAAATTTGTCTGCATAATCAAAGGGAAATGCAGTTGGGAAGAATTGACAGAGAACTGACCGCTTCTACTGGTATGCATCAGAAATGGAAAAGCTGAGGTTTATATCAAGATTTTAATATTTGCTAATATCTAAAACTTGTCCTCTCAAGAAATGTTTAAGGAATTGTCCTACACCCAATCACCAGCATGGCTGTCACAATGAGTCCTGCAAGTCCTACAAACAGGAAGAAATGTTGTTACAGTAGATGTTGATGCCAACATGGCAGCTTCACAGTATGTAAGTATTTCTAAATGTTTTCTCTCCTCTCTATCCCAGGTAACCATCATTATTTACCTGTCTGTCGTGGGCGCTCTGCTGCTCTACATGCTGTTCCTGCTACTGGTCGATCCTCTCATCCGCAAACATGACCCCTACACCCAGCCGCTGCACAATGAGGAGGACTCTGAGGTAACCACTCAGACAAATAACACATAAATGCGCAAACACAACAGTCACCTGTATTTCACTTCAGTCGAATGTGAAGTCCTTGATTTCATTTAATTCCTGTTTTTTTTTTTTTTTTTTGTATGTGTGTGTGTGTGTGTCCAGGAGATGCGTCCACAGGTGGACAGCAGCCAGGCGAGAGGAAACACGGTGCTGGAGCGCGTCGAGGGAGCGCAGCAGCGCTGGAAAAAACAGGTCCAGGAGCAACGCAAGACTGTTTTTGACCGCCACAAGATGCTTAGTTAAACCCTACGTCTAACCTCAAAACCAGGTTTAGAGTAGGTGACTTCAGCAGGCACAGCGCTACTCCACTGGCCCCAGCTGCACTATTACTAACCTTAGCATTTGATGTGCACTCCGCCCTCTGAATTAGTATTTCCTTACTAAGAAACACACTCATCTAACAAGCAGATCTTTTTTATTTATAATACATAATACTTCAGGCTAAGTTGCATTGTGAAAAAACTCCATGTTTGTGCACTCTTAATGACTACTAGATTCGTAATGTCTTGATAAAGTAGGAATCTTTTTTTTTTTTTTTTTTAGCCAGACTGTGAATAGCCTTGAAGCTCTTACGCGATACCTTTTGTTGTTCGCTACTTGCTAATTTGGCATGATATTAAATGTTTTTCTTGGATCATAATTTCTGATGTTACCTCAGGACAGGTAAGCTTCATGTTTGTAAATTATTAGTTTAGCTAATGGGGGTAGACAGAGTACCCCGTCTCTGCTGTTGCCAAGCATTGCACATTTCATATTTTAGCACTAATGATCATTTATTCATGTATAACCCTGGGCATATTTAGTGTCATTTGCACTAATAATGTAAATAAAGGATTGTACATTTTGGGCTTGGTAATTTTAAAGCCTTGACATTGCTACCCCAATATGTGCCTTTTTCTGTTTCTCTCGTTGTGTGAGTGAACGTGTTACACCAAACTCCAGTGCAAAAGTTGGCTCTTAAATGATGGCACTTCACATCTTGCAAAACATAACAGATGAATACATTTTGGCAGGTATATCGTCCACTAAGTAAAAGTTATGGTTTTTTGTTTTTGTGCTTTTTAATAATTTATCTTGAATTTAACAGTGAACCGAAAAATGGTTGATCAGTGACAAAAGGCCACATTTACGTCCTCATATTTTGCAGTAGGGTTTGATGAAACATACTTTCCCATGCACAGAGAGAAATAGAGAACGGGGCATTTAACAGCTTTAAAGCCATCCTCACATGAATCAAATCTCTGCCGCTGGAGAATATCCTAAATCAGTAAAGCTGCTGATAATGCGGTTATGTGTGGCAGAATCAGGATGCCTCATGGCTTTGAAAGGCCCTGGTGTGCATCATTATGTGTCAGTGAATTCCCCTTCACAGTCTGAAGCCTGCTGTTAGGGGAATTTTTAATATGACAAAGAAAAGGTACGCTGACTCACACGACCTCATGCACAATGTGAACTGCTGAAGATTATTTGTCTGTAATGCTTTATTTTATCACTGAAGTGTTTTTGATTGACTGATTTTAAGTATAATTTCATATCACTGGTATCAGTGTTTTGTATTTATATTCCTCTCCAGCCAAACTGGAGTATTCCACTGCTTGTGTCTATACATTCGGCTTGATGTGAAATAAAAAAAGAATACTCTGGTTGAGTGCAAGATTTTTGGTCATTCCTCTGGATGTTTGGGAGTATTCTTTTGGGTGCTGCAGATTTTATTCCCTTTGTGAGTCACCAGTACTGTTTATTGGCACTAGGGGGCGACAGAGGACACAATATGTGGACCGTCTGCTTCCTCTCTGAGAAATCCTGCTTCATCATCAAATGAATCCTCACATTTGTTGTGGTTTTCAGCTCTTCAGCTTGTTAGTTTAAAAGGAAGTAAGTAGTTTTAGGCATCATTATTATTTTATTCCCAAACCCACATGGAGCACCATCCAGACTAATTTCCATAGGGCTGGGGGATAATTTATTGACTTTGATTTAAATTGTGTCATGCATATATTTTGTGCTTACCCGTTTAAAAAAATATATATATATATAATAATAATATATATATATATATATATATATATATATATATAAGGATATAAGTAAAAATACTTGCACTAATATCATGTTTTTGATTTCAACCATAAATTCCTTGCACAAAGGATTTAAATGGAGAAACCCGCGGACATGTAAACACTGTGGGGAAAGTTTGGGATTCTGAGGCAGATCATCTCAAGTAGTCTCTTAATCGTTTCTTGCTCTTGGTGTATTGCTTTCATCCAACACTTTTTCAGAGTCTAAACACTGTGCTCCACCTGCACAATGTCACACTGCAGGCAGAAACATCCACCAGTCTTTTCCCCTCCTCTCTCCTCACTGTTTTTTTTTTTTTTTCACAGATTAGGGTTGAGCATCAGTGTCTATCAACAGAGCAGCTCAGTATGTTTTGAAAGGAAGGGCAGGTTCATGGGGCTGCTGAGGATATTCTGCTACTGCAAGACCCCCCCAAACTGTCTCTCCCCGCCTTTGTGCTCTTCATTCTGCCACTGCCCCAACCCCCCTTGATCCCATCTACTCCCTTCTTCCACCTTCTAACCCCCCCCCCACCCCACCCCACCCCACCCTCTTAACCATCCCCAAGCATGGCCTGTCAGTGGTTCAGAGTCTAAATTTAAACTACAGCAGGGCCAACTGCTCCTCCAGCCACTCTGGGCTCCTGTTATTTTTCCCTGCCTAAGCGGGGGGGGGGGGGGTTTTCTGTCAGAGGCCCTCAGCCAGGAGGAGAGGCCTGTGGCTCTGCGTGAGGGAGAAGGACTCAGAGGGAGAAGAGAAGAGGGGGAGAGAGGTCGGTGGAGGAGTGCTCACAGGATTGGCAGGTCAGGAACCCAGGGGCCTTCACAACAGGGAGTTATAGTGTGCCGCAGTTTGGGACTATAAAGTGACAGGACTCATTTCTCGTGGACTGGGAGCTCTTCTCAGGTAGAGGCACCAAGATGGCGGCCAACGGCGAGGCGGCCAAGCCGGTCATCATGAATGAAGAGGAGCTGAAGAGGAAGCAAAGGGAGAAGCTGAAGAAGCTACAGGCCACGGGGGGTAACCCTCGACCCGCGAGATCCCTCTTCTTCTTCACCCTCAAGAACCCCTTCCGCAAGGCCTGCATCAATATCGTAGAGTGGAAGTATCCTTTATACACACACACACACACACACACACACACACATACACATACACTGACGTCTACAGTATACATACACAACACACAGACAACTGTTGTAGTAGACACCAGCTTAAACATATGCCGTTTAAACATTACATGCTTATCCAGTCTTGCTTAAAAAAGGTAATTAAAGGTAATTTTCACTTGTGAACACACAGTATTTAAGAGCCTCAGGGTATTACACAGTTATTACAGCATGTAGTGCTGTGGTTAAGAACACTGACAGCTAGAGTACACAGAAATTATGTGTCTGCATGGCAGTGAATTATCAGCCATGTAGTCCACCTGCGATGAGTCTGGCAAAGCCAAGTCTCTTTCAAATCTGTGTTAAGGCAATCCCTGAAGTGTTAAGACTTTTGTTATGTATCTGGCCGCCCTGTGTCAAAGTCAAGTTTGTAGCCGTCGTATTTTCACCTGGAGAGCTTCTCTGCTTATCTATTTATATCAGACTTATGAAAATAATTAATGAAGCTGTCTCCTTAGCGTCCTGACTGGCTGACATTCTGCTTTTAATGTGGAAATAGTGGCTCTACAATGCCGGCCGCAATCTGTTAGTTCTGACACTTTAACACAAGGCAGGCTGCTGAGTGATGTTATGGCCTCTATAGGGGATTTCCTGCTTTTAGCCTGACGGCCATTCCTGGATAATAGATGTTTTCCATCCAAAATAGAATGAGTTGATCATATCTATTCCAGTGACAATATCCTTATGCTAACATTTTAAATATATTATATGGACTCATGGAGTTTAACAGTGAATGTCTATTTCAAAACATCATTATGGTTTAAATAGCTATGATTTTTCTGAACATGTATGTATTGAACTGTATCTCCATATGCTCAACCAGGTCATGAGTTTTTTTACTGCAGCAGTTTAATCACATTGGCATGTGATCCTGTAACACAGGACAGGTGCTGTAATTAGATCAAAATGACAGAAATTGAATTAAACTCCTCAAGTACTACTTACAGTACTTTCAAAAATGACTGCTCACAGGCATGAGAATCAACAAATACCTCATAGAATAACCAAACAGTTTTATTCCTGATGAGTAGACTGAGTTTAAATGGTTTGGTCATATTCTTGGGCTCTGCAGCTGTCCCGCGGCATCACAGAGAGACATGATGCTGACCTGGCAGGGGAATTCTCTGAGAGAGCCCCCTATGGATGAGAATGAAGCAGCACAGCAGACAAGATTACATTAACTGTGACCGCTTTACTGGTTACCCGATGGGTCGGTTTAGGGATGATGTTTCACGCAGCATTTAGAGGCCAACACTTCAGTGTTAGTAGTGCTGCAGCGTTGTTTGTCATATTTTGTTACATTACGCCACAGAAAGTACAGAACGAGTCACACAGATAAAGTAATGGACCATTTATTTTCTAAAAATGTTTCTTACCCCTCCATTATCACTCGAATATTATCACCACGAGTTATTCCATGTAAAATGTATCCGTTTTGTAATATTTCCTTCTGGTGGTAACTGGGATTTTACCAGTCCATTTCATGTATTATTGTCATGATCCTGAGCTTCCCCATTCAGAACCTTTGAGATCATCATTCTATTGACCATCTTTGCAAACTGTGTTGCTCTGGCTGTGTTCCTGCCCATGCCTGAAGAAGACAGTAACAACACCAACTTGAGCTTGGTGAGTATGAGTTTGACCCTTACAGCCTTTCTTTGATGTAAGTCTCAGGACTCTAAGAGGAAAGTTGTCTCTGATTTCTGAGGGATGCAGTATTTTGCCATGACCAGATGATAACTGCGCAGCTGTGCTCGACAATTTAATGTGTTTGAGTGCTTTAGTCAGGTTGCTGTTCCAGCTGGTCATCGGTCTGAGAGCCAAGTTCCATTTAAATGCCTCCAGACACAACTCAGTTCTTTATTTGGAGTCCCATGTGTATCTGCAGAGGAATGTGTCATCAAACAAATGTGCTATTGGTTTCTCCTTCAACTCTAATCAGTTTATCCCTCTCTGATCAAATGGATAAAAGCTACATAATACAAAGATGTGCAGTAATGTCTCATAATGCCTGTGTTTGTTTTGAGACACACATGCAGTATACAATCCTTTAAAACTGAGCTCATCTGGGTTGATGGCTCACATGACATTTTATTTAAGTATTCTGCCAGTAAAATTGAAGTAGCTTAAACAAAGGTTTCATGACTCCTCACACTCTAGATGACCCCATTGTGTGAACTAGCTGGTGGAAGGTTTGACACCTGGAAGCTGCAGGTGTGTGTCCAGGCGTTATTACGTTTGAGGCTCATAGGTGTGTGTTTATACTGTGTGGATAATGCATTACGTGTCGGAAGGTGAACAACCGGTGGAACCTATCTGTGAGCAAAAGATAAATGTGTGCTCCACAGTGTATTACATGTCTTGCCAGTGTCTAGATATTTGACGTCGTATTGACACGGGTGTTGTGTGTATTGGGGGGGCTTGTTGTGTGAGTCTTGATATGTGGATCACTATCTGTGAGAGACCTTGCATCCAGTGCAAATGTCAACATATAGCACCTGTAGCCAGCCATCACGTATTAAAATAATAATAAACTCCACACATCGCTGGGTTGAAGCTTGTTGGTACGCAACCAACTGACCTACACCCCAGCCAAATTCATCAAGTCATCAGGTATCTGAACCTAAAACTGACCCCATCTTTTTTCTTTGCTCTGGCCTGCTTGCCAAATCCTTCTTACCTCTCAGTGTGCCGATGTAAGAAGAGCTAGTCAAACCCCCCCCCCCTTCTCTGTTAGAAGTAGGTCGGCACAGATGGCGTCACCCCACTGATGCAGGTGGATACAGGAGAGGCCGCAAATGTTACCGCACTCGTACTGTGCTCCTTAGATATGTTGGTTTGTAACAACGCAGAAGCACAGCTCTACTTGTTGTTCCGCTTGATATCATTTGAATTACAAAATTTCTTATGTTTATAAATGTGTTATTGTTAATGTATGCAGGGTTGGCCTTGGAGGTTCTTATTGATCAGGGGCTCGGGGGCTGCTGCCGGTTGGTTCAGCCAAACATTATTGACCCGATTTGTGTAAAAGGATCAAAGGGAAATAAACAGCATATCATATAAAATGTATCGTGTACCTCAAATTAACTCTCCTGATTTCCTTTTAGACTCTATACTGTTCTCATGTTATCCCTTCCTCTCCTACGACATTTGTATTTACATCAACAATGAAGCAGAAAAGTAAAAAAAAAAATGTATCTACTAATGACAGTTTAATTGCTTTTTTAAGCAAATTTGTGCTGGTAGACAAATAATTCTACTCCGACATGTAGAGGACATGTTAAAGCGCCAGAGGGAAACCTCGCTCGCTTCTGTGTCTGTCTGCTGTGTGTCCTCGAAAAATATCAACACTGACAAAAAAGACACAGAAACAGGCCAGATCTGCAAAATTATTCAGTCAGCCTGACATTTATCTG